GGTTCATGCGACTTAGAGAGGGTGACTTTACCAGCCGCAAGCTTTCGATTGTAGTGGTTAGTTTGCCTTCAGGTCCGGTGCTACTCAAGAAAGGTGCAATGACAACCATACCTGATATCAGGAGAATGCTAGGGGCATTAATCCCACCGAGCAGTCTTGCAAATGATTTGTGGGGATTTCCAGGGGATCAGGGGGCTTTGTGTGCTGATACAGTAGCTTTCTGTATGCCTTGTCAGGAGACACCGCCAGGTGAGATCATTGACCAGTTGACATGGGTGGAAGATGACATTGGTTGGCATATTCAGGCTGAACATATGACTCTCCTTGCCTATACTAGGTTTGCACAGAAAATCGGCTTGTGTGAACAGATTTTGCGCATGGGGTGGATCTTGACAATTCGGCCCCTGAACCATGACAATCAGGCCACATCTCAGCTCTTGTTTCGGCCGCGCATTGAGGTCCCCAGTGTTGATGGCTTGTTCTTTCGTACTGCTTGTACTACCACCATTGCCATGAGCCTCATGCCTCCAGAAATCCCAACTAGAAGTGAACTGATAGTCAAGGTGAAATTCTGGGAGACGTGGTCTCCGGAATTTACGTGGCCAAGGACGACATTGGTCAATGATGTGGTCAGACCTTGGTCCAGAGCGTCGCAGCACACTGGTGACAGATCAGAAGTCCGTGCCATTTACATGGGTAAGCAGATGAGCAATGAATTCCTGTTACAGTCGTACTTGCCTCCAGCCTCTGCTCAAACTGTCATGCGCATTCATTGCGTGCTCCAGTTGCATGGGGGCGGAAACAAGGTCGAAGCGGCCCAGCAATTGCGACAGGGTCTGGTTGAATTCTTCTTGCAAAGTGGTGCTGACCCATTGCAGGTTAATGACCATGCAAAATTCTTGGTTGAGAAAGCAGGCACGGCTACAGTCCAACATGCATTCCAGATCAGAGATCCCGAAGAACGCCTTGTACAATTGCAGCGACTAGCCAAAGCCCTCAATCTTAGGGCCCTTGCGATAGAACATCCCGATGTTGACAGGCAGAAGAAGATGCGTGCATGGAAGCCAAAAGCCTTGTCACAGGTAGCCGCAGTTCGCGCTGATGATTTCCAGTTGATTGGAGGTCACTTTGCTACGGCAGATGGACAAGCTCTGCCGGTCATCTCGTGGCAGACCAAGAATCCTGTAGGAGTGCTCTTGATTGATGCTGATGCGTATTTAGAGTATGCTAAGACCATCACCACTCAACCACATGCGTTGGGGGTGGCCATTCTTGGTCACGAATGTCCTATTGCGGGTCCCAAGTGTAGCAAACTGCATGTCGCAGCAACAGACACACAAGGAGTCAAAGTCATTCTGAAATCATGCTTTCATCAACTTGGTAAGTTTCCAGTCCAGCCAATCACGAAGGAGGGTGATAACATACCAGTTGCGGAAACAAAACTGGCTGCGATTACGGCATGGAAGGAAGAAATGCAATCGGAAACTTGGGACAACTTGCTCCAGTCTCCAGCCAAAGTCTGTGCCCAGGTTTTAGCAATCAAGCCTTCAGAACACTACGGGGTGGCTCCCTGGGGCCGTGCTTTTCGGGCCGGAAACATGCAAAGCCCCCCAGAGAGTGCGACATCGTTTCAGTTTCATGTTAGGCTTCGTTGCGCTAGCCTTGAAGTGCTTCTTCGCAGGAGTGGCCAAGAGGGGATCTATATTGTCCCCAAATCCGACACTTTGCATCGAGCTGATGAACAGTATGCAATTGTGTGGCTTGGCGATCGGACCTTGGCTCAGGTGAAGGAATTCGCACTTACGGTGGACAAGCAACTTGGCTTGGCTAGGGCGAATAATGGAACGACCCAGTATGGCCTTCGTGTCTATGCAGATGCATTCGAAGCAACATTCAAGCTGGCGTTTCCATTAAAGCCAGTCCCGCCACACATGATCACCCATTACTTGGCCAAGGTCGCACCCGTTCCGGTAGGGGCCACGCATGAGAATATGCGGGATTGGCTGCTCGCTCAAAATATCCAAGGCAAGCCTCTCAGAGCATTAAATTCCACTACGTGGCTTCTGTCAACGGTTGATCAACCCACCACAGATGCGGTAATCTTGTCCCCCATCCTCAGCAAGCAAGATAGGTCTCGACCGACTGTCCTGGCTGGCCAGCAGGTCCGTCCATCGCCGGAGTTGATTGATCTTGAAACGAGCGAGGATTGGCTTCAGTCACATGACCCATGGGCGGAATGGAAGTCCACATCGTCGTCCTCCGGAGGATGAAGTGCGTCTACTAGAGACCTCAAAAGCCAGTCACCGTCAGCACAGGTGCAGCTGCAAATCAACGCTCAGAAGACTGAAATTGAACAGATACAGGCCAGATTGCAGAATATCGAGAATAAAACAGACCAAGCAGAACGCAACAACCAAGCCTGGAAGGCTACAGTAACCAAGGATCTCAAGGCATTTCGCGAAGAAGTCAAACATGAGGTCCATGGGCTAGAACAGAAATATGCATCATCATTAACTGCTGCACTTTCCAAGACTGAGTCAAAGCTGGAGAGTTCGATGCAGTCAGCAATTGCTCAACTGCAAACGTTCCTAACCCAGCAGAACAAATCCACAAAGCGAGCTTCGCCGGCGAGCCCGGAGAAGAGTGACGCAGAGATGGAGCCAGCTGCCAAGCCCTGACACCAGAGTCAGGGCCTTTCGTTCGGTTTCACCGCATTTGTGTTCCTTGTTGGTTCATGTCTCGAACTCCTGAAAGTTGTTTTCATAAACATGGATGAAGTTGTTCCATTTATTTTCACTTTCCAACGAGGATTTCGAATGTGTAATTCATGTCAATTGTGCATTTTGCAAACTAGATGTCGAAACCAAGCTGTGCCGCAGGTTAGTGGTCTGCCCACTGACCCCTTCACAGGTCCAGGCAAGGAGGTATTTGGTGGTACAATTTGTTTTGTGCAGTATGTGTTGATGGCTAGCGAACATCTTCAGGCCGGCTGGAACTGCGCGTCCCGACGAGCATACTGAGTCAAAGTTTCGTCTCCACAACGAGCTCCTTCGTAGCGCTGTCCTGACCCAACGTCGCTTCTCTGTCTTCCCTCTCGCCCGCCAAGGTGTCAAGAACGTTCAACAGTAACATCTGACAACTGCTGCTCCGGGATGTACTCGAAGCGCTCTTGCAACGACCAATCCATGCCCTGTTTCTCTGCCCAGCGACGTTACAAGAGTGTCCTACAAGTGTCCCACAAGAGTTTCCTACAAGAGTGACGCACACGAGTGTCCTACAAGAGTGTCCTATAAAAGTGTCCCACAAGAGTGCCCCACAAGAGTGTCCCACAAGAGTTTCCTACAAGAGTGTCACACAAGAGTGTCCCACAAGAGTGTCCCACAACAGTATCCTACAAGAGTGTCCTACAAGAGTGTCCCACAAGAGTGTCCCACAAGAGTGTCCTACAAGAGTGTCCCACAAAAGTGTCCCACAAGAGTGTCCCACAAGAGTGTCCTACAAGAGTGTCCCGCAAGAGTTTCCTACAAGAGTGTCCCACAAGAGTGTCCCACAAGAGTGTCCTACAAGAGTGTCGTGTAAGAGTGTCCCACAAGAGTGTCCTGCAAGTGACCCACAAGAGTGTCCTACAAGAGTGTCTCACAAGAGTGTCCCACTGGGACACTCTTACAAGAGTGTCCCACAAGAGTGTCCTACAAGAGTGTCCCACAAGAGTGTCCCACAAGAGTGTCCTATACGAGTGTCCCACAAGAGTGTCCTATAAGAGTGTCCCACAAGAGTTTCCTACAAGAGTGACCCACAAGAGTGTCCTACAAGAGTGTCCTACAAGAGTGTCCCAGAAGAGTGTCCCACAAGAGTTTCCTACAAGAGTGACCCACAAGAGTGTCCTACAAGAGTGTCCCAGAAGTCCTACAGGAGTGTCATTTGGACATATGTAGTTTTTCGATCGTGTTTGCATTCGGGCTCGTGGGTTCCATCTTGTTTTTTTCTTCCTGCAGTTCAACACGATATGCTCAGTGTCAACCACAAAGACCACCAAAAGTTGGAGAACAAACCCACCAGCTACGGTACGCATCCGGCTGTGTGGCAAAGCAAAAGTAAGGAGAAAAGCCCACTTGTCCTGGTACACTGTAGACTAAGGGGCGAACGAAAAGATCGATGCCTCTGTTTCGGCATCCTCCAAAATGACCTCGCCTTTCGGAATGGCTTCCACTGATGTCTTCAGTTCGAGAAGCAAAGATTCCAGGCGTTTAAATGAGTCGCCAAGGTCGCGTTCCTTTTCGATGGTGTCGTCCCTGTAGATGGTCACGCCCTTTTCTGCCAACTCTTTGAGAGACTGGAGACGGGCTTCCACCTCCTCATGCTGAGCATGATCTCCCTTTTGCAGACACCGATGTCGGAGGAAATCTTCTTCTCAGACTCCTCCAATCCTGATTCCAGAGTCTCAAGTTTTGCTCTGGACTTCTCCAGGATTGCCTTTTTCTTCTCAAGCAAACCAATCTTCTCGGTTGTTTTCCTGAGGTCCTCTTCAAATGTCATGATATTGGCAGAAGCTGTGATCTTGTCGCTGGAAAGCTTTTCGTGCAGCTTCAATCCATCTGTGTTCTTGTCCCGGCGCAACACCGATTTCTTCCAGAGTCGGTAGTGCTGCCAGCCTGCCCAAGCTGGTGGCTCCGAGTAGTCGCCCTTCGAGCTCCACCAGCTCGCCATTTCCAGCTCGCCATTGTCCTTGGCGCCAGGGATCTTAAGTCTAAAGAGGGTCAGGACCTCCTGAATCTCCTAAGGAGGATTGCGCACCCCACGACCATCGATTCCATTCAGCCCACTCCTCACCAGCCCATTGACGCGCAATCAGTGGAGAATATCAAAACTCATCAAACATCCCCGTTTCCTTTGTGGGAGAATTTAAACAAACAACCTGTAGGGGGAACCTTTCAGGCCAAAAACACGTGAAACACCCCCGCCGTTTCCCCACCTCCTCCCTCCCTCCTTGGCCACGTCACCGTCGCACCTCCTTGAGCCGCTCCGCCGGAGTCACCTCCTGCGAGGTCAACCGGTTTCGGGGTCGGGCGGATCGGGTCGATCTGGGACATCAAAAGACCGTATTTCCCTACAAGAAGCAAGCCTCCACTTTCTGACTATTTGAGTATAGCGAGGAAGGCACCAAAAAGCGAACTTTCACATTTGAGTGGATGATCAAATATGAAGGTCACTACACTGCAAGATGCTCTGATTAAGTAAGTTGGAATGGTTCGTTGTTTGCTTGTTAGTTAACAGTTTCAACAGAACAAAGGGAATCCCTACAGAAGTCTAAACACTTATAATTACAGACTTTTCCGAATGAAAGCAATTTTCCGAACTCAGTGCTCCTGAAAAGGCGGGGACTTGTCCAACAATGTATTTTGCATGTCCCTTCCCATGACGGTTCCACCAACAGACATGGCCCAACCTTTTGTGTCGCTCGGTCGCTCGGCTCCTGGGGCACATTCACCAGATCCTCATGAGTCGGTCGCGCGAGAGACCGACACCGGCGACATCGGAAGCTGAAGATTCCAAAACGTGGTATATACTTGGAACCCTTAAGGGAAATCCATATACCCTCTGCGAAGGTACTTGGCAGTGGTCCTTAGCACCTGAATTGTTTTTCTTAGAAATCCATGTGTCCGTGCGCCGGCGAGCGTGTTGCTCCAGGGCGCATCATACGTTAGGAGGGTGAAGACCAACTAAGTGGGGCTGTGGGGTCTTGATTTAGCACCAAATCAAGCTAGCCTCGGTGTATACCAAAGCAATTTCGGCTTCAACTTTGTGTGGTTTCTTCGAAGGACACAAACATGCCATGGAATGCCAGAATGGAGGAATCAGGCCGAATCCCAGACAAAAGAATCAACTGTCCAACACAGAAATCTCTCAAGTTTCTGAGAACGTTCCATCTCACATCGCTTCGGCATGCTTTGGCATGCACCTGCAAGCTTCTTCACATGTTTTTTCACAGGGCCAAAGAGAGTGTCTCCCTCCCCCAACCCCTGCGCCACCAGCTGCGGCCAAGGCCCACGCATGCGGCCGACCGCACCGGTGCTGCCGAGGTGCTCCCAGGAGCTTCTGCATCCGATCCAGCGACGACTTGAGGGTCTCGGCGCGCGGGTTCCGCGTTCCGCGGGGAACGCCGTTCCGCGCGGCCGGGTGGGGTGGGGTGGCGCGGTTCGGAATGGATTCGAGGTCTGGGCTTCAAATTTGGAGACTTGGTGTATGGGGACGAATGATTGAAGTGTCAAAGTGGTAGAACCGGTGGAACATCCAAAGCGTCATAGATCGAGACAAGAAGGAGGTGCAGGTGCTCTTCTTTCTCCCTAGATACGGAATCTGAAACAAACAGATTGAGAGGGTTCTGAGCCAAACCTGCTCCCTTCCCTTTGGCTCCTCACATCCCAGCGAGTGGCCCTGCCGCCAAACGCACCAGAAGACCGGCTCTAGGGTGTGTCGCCACCTAGTAGGAAATGAGGCTCCTAGTAGCGATGCCAGGAGCTCTTCAAAGTAGCTTCTGGTTCCTAAGAACTTCTTGCTCCTAGTAGTACGGCCAGGAGCCCCTTAGCGATGCCAGGAGCTCCTAGTAGCTTCTTGTTCCTAGTAGTAAGGCCAGGAGCGTCCCTAGTAGCGTTCCCCTATGTTTCTTCCTCGCCTGTCGCTCCAACTCCAGCTCCTGGTTCCGCCGGCCAGAGGCCTCCGGTCTCGCGCCGCACAGCTTCGCGCAGCGAAGACGCGCAGCATAGCTTCGCTCCGAGACAACGACTGAAGAAGAAAGAGGGGGCTCTGGCAAAAAGCACCTCAAATGTACTTAAAGCCATAAAGGTACACCACTTGTATATCTTGGGTTGGGAATTCATACCCAAAAAGCACCTTAAAGCTGGGTTGGAGGTTCTTGACCTGCCTGGTTCTACTTTTGGGTTCCACACATTGGGGCCGGATCTGGCAGGGCCTATGAAACATTGAAAGATCGATTCACAAAGTACACGTATACTGGTACACATGCATAGCAAGATGTCCACATTGCGAGGCACTTCAAGGACCTTGGATTCCTATGTCTTCCTTGTGCCCAAGTGAACCCCCCCAACGGCGCGACGGAACCATCTCCGCACCTAGTAAACCCGTCCCGTCCCGCCAGTCACGGCCTCCAAGCGTCGCAGAAGCTCCTGCTTCTCTTCTTCGACCTGGACCGGTGACCAGCGGGTCTGGGTCCAGGAATCGCATCCGTTGATGGCTCGAATCGCCGATGTCAGAGGCTCTCCGGAGTCAGACGGCTCGAAGCCGAGAAGACGGCGGTCCGGGCATCTGATTAACATCACCTCCATGTGAAGCAGACGCATCAACAGCTGATCACGTTTATGTTTTTTATTGCTTTTTAAATCTCCCGTCAGATCTGCTGGCGTGAAGAGCAAACGGTCAGATCAGCTGATGGACCTGAAAAGGCTTCGGTGAAAGCAAGTGATAGAACTTTGAATGCTCCTCCTTCTTTCCATGTGCATCTACCCGTCTATCTTAAGGATCATTCATGATGATAGTTACGTGATGTTATGTAAAACTGGAACTCTTTAGAATCTGCTTGGTTTTCCGACTTCCCTCAAAATGAATGCCTGGAGAAGCTCCTCCTAGTCTTCATTTCAGCAACTCAACAGTCTAAGCTTGAAAACGCGTCATGGTGCTCCGCGCTACCATTGCGCAAAACACCGCCCCCTAGACCGATGTCCCATCGTGTCCAAAAACAGTGCTTGGAACCTTTGACACAACTAAATAAATGCTGGAGACAAAGTCCATACCCAAACCACTTTGGGCAGAACCAGCCTCGAACCCCGTCACCGACGCCCGTCACCGTCCAACGACACCAGCTCCGAAGAGCTCCGCGTAGCTCTGGGACGTCCGGCAGCTTGGAGGCGATCGAGACCGGGAACACCTGCGGAGGTGGATGGGGCGAGGTGGATGGAGATGATGCTGGGTAGATGCATGCCATGTAGGCGAACTGACGAGACCTCTGGATGCTAGCGATCATCTGTCCAGCTGATCGGCTAGCCCAGGCTCGGCCAACTTGAGTGGTAGTAGTGCAGTGAAGAAGCCATCAGGAAAATGCACTAACAATCAATAAATTTTCAACTTGAATGTCTAAAGTTACGCTTCTTTGGAACACTCCTCTCAGTGGCCACCACTAATTACCATGTCTCTGTCTTCAGTTGTTTCGACATCCTTCCCCCCGGTCTGGGGTCGGCACCTCCCAGTCGGCTCAGATAAGCCTGGCGCAGCGACGGGGCACCGCGACCAGGAGGAGCTGGCACCGGAACTGCTTGAGGTCAACGAGGGCTCGATGCCAGGTACTATAGACCGAACTCGGTTATTTAAACGACTGGGGGTATCCCCCCTGTTCATCAACCAACCAATAGCATCCAAGTCCGTCGGTGCACAGGAGAATCGCCCTTGGAGCATCTTTAGGTAACCAATCCTGTGCTCCTTGCATAGAGCAGAGTGAAGACCTGTTTCTGATATAGAGAGAAATTGGCTTATATATTGGGCCTATCCCATTACCAGTAACAAATAGTAACAGTGGATGATGATGGTTAGTAAAGGCCTTTTCTCTAAAACCGTGATCATTGTTTACCGACTGTCACAGGTATGTTCGGACAGGCCCAACGGCCCAATAAACCATCTTGCTTCGGTGGTTTTTGCACCTGCCGTGCCCTCCTCCCCTGCGGCGACGATGGACCCCCTGAGGTGTCCTGTCCAGAAAACCGCGACGAGGAGGGGAGCCAGCTTGCCTCTCCCAATCTTGTGGCTGTGGCTGTTGAGGGGTCTACTTCCACAGCCACATGTTGATTCTCTGCAACGAGGGACAGAATTTCAACCCCTTGTTACTGTAGTAGTAATGCACCTGTTACATCTTGTTACCTGTTACTAGTAGCGATGCCCTTGCTACTCCCTAGGGATCCAAGTACCTTCTCAGAAGGTGATTGGAGACACTCTTATGTAGGTTTTGAGGGTCCAGTCGTACCTTCTGAGAAGGGAGAAGGTACGACTGGATCCCTAGGGACTAGCTACTACAACAACATCTTTAAGAAATACCTCTCGGGGTCCGCCCATCTCGCACTGACTTATGTCCTTCCCCCTCGCCTCTGACATCCGCGGCATGGGCGGCGGCAGCGGCTGAGGACCTGGGAGCCGGCGTGGATATGGGCAGGTGCACCAATTCACACTGGTTTGGATATGGGCAGGGCAGCACAGGGAGTGTTGCTAAATTCTAACCCGAGAAAAACCAATGTGAATATGAAATCCACCATGCAAGAAGTCAGTGCTTCTTGTCAGTCGAGGTGAATGCATTCTCCAAGCAAACTCTCGGAAAACATCGAACAACATGTGCCCAAGGCCCAAGACCCAATCTTTGTGTTGAGCTCGGTCTTCGGATCTGGGACTCCCGACTCAAACTGGCAGGTCTCACTTGGGCCCTCCACCCCCAACACCCATCAACCTCACCCCATTTCTCCAAAAGGGGTGTGTAGGAAAAAACCTCCCAGGCAAACGACATGACACTCCCCCTTGGGTTCAACTCATCAAATGATGTTTGCTGTGGAAGTACTCCCCCTTCTGTCGCGACTGGACCCACCGACCCACCGACCGGTCCTCTTGGTCGCCCCGGTCCCGCCTGGAGGCGGAAACGCCGCCTGCGGAGCTGTTGCGCAGGACGGACCGTGGGACCGTGGGACCGTGGGACGGTCCGAGGCTTCCTGGGCCGCATGATTTCGAGACATATTACATGATTTTACATGATTTCCGAGGCTTCCTGGCCGCATGATAAGGATTTTACATGATTTTACACTACAGAGCCAGGTCAACCGTTCTTTCAATCTTGGAAGGCATCGGGGAATAAGTATCAAAATCAATTCAACAATTGACGTGGAAGTGAAGGACCCACTGTTTGTAGATGCTTGCAATCTTTCTCAGAAACCATCTCGAAGTTGTATGTGAGTGAGTCGGAGGGTAGAATCTGTGCTTCCAAGGAGGTGCTGTATGGACCGTGTCTTCAATTTCCCTCCCCGACCACCTGGAAGAGGATCGCCCAACCCAAACCTTGTTCCGGTGAATCAAGTTCCCCTGAAAGAACTTCCTGAGTATGAAAAGTCCCACAAGAAACCCATTGAATAATTGCGAACTGATTCATGGTTGCAAGAAACACATACGGCCCTTTGAGAGGGAGAACGTGGCATCAAAGTGTTCTCCTAGTTTTCTTTGGTTTTGCACGCACTGGAACTAACATGGAACTGGATGGCACCCCCTGTTGGGAATTCGGAAAATGGTCTTCCACGGGGCCATGTTCCACTGGTATGTTGGTTCGCGTGAGTGTAGAATGTTGCTTTTACTCCCAACCCCCCCTGGAGAACGCTGGTCGTCGCTTGAACGCGTTCGCGGCCTCCTGCAAGGTGCTTTGCAGAATCCCCGCCCTGCCGAGGGTCGTTTGCGTGTGTGTGTGTGTGGAGGGAAACAAAATGAAAAGCACAAATAGCACCAAACCTAAGAGCGATGGCCTCCAACCTAAGAGCGATGACCTCCAATCCAAGAGCGATGGCCTTCGCCCTAAGGAAGGAATGAGAAGCACTTTGGGGGGGACATGCAAACAATTACAAACAAATACAAACACCTATCAGCTGATCAGCCCGCAATGCATGAAATAGTAAAACTATGTATATAAAACAATCGAAGTAATCGAAGTGGAAAAAACACAAGTCTTCATACCACGGGTCACAAGTTCAGCTGGTTTCTCAGGTCTTGAGGGTGTACCCCAATGGCCCACTTGTTGCACTTGGCGGGTTGCGTCTGAAACCCACAGTTTGGTCATTTCTGCAAAGAACATGAGTCTTCAACACACCAAGTTCTTCGCAGAAGACCACCTTTTTGTGGATCAATGGATTACTCTTTTTCGCGCTTGGTCAAGACACGTACCGCCACCCCATGCCACCCCCCTCTCAAGTCTTTTGGCCACTTGCCAAGTCTGAGGCGGTTGCGGTGTCGGAAAAGACACATCAAAGGCCTCAATCCAAAGGAAGGCCTTGTCATCTGCATTCCTCTTGTTCTTTTCCTCCAAGGCCTCCTTTTCTCATTCCCTAAAACCATCATGGAAGCTCCTGGGACCGAGTGCGGCCATGCCCCACTTCCACTATACTCAGGACAGTGGGACAGTGAAAAGTGGCTGACAGACCTGCAACGACCTGGAGTAGGCAAAGGCAAGCTGTGAACATGGAAGATATGGACCATCTGTGTTTGGACATGTTCAGATGTGTTATAACCATGGTTCTGTGTGGCAAAGGCAAAGGCAAACACATCTAGAGATGGATGAATCTCAGTAACCCTCCCGTTTGGCCTGTGTGGATCAGTTATAGTGTAGTTGAGCGAAAACAATCGGGAGTGCTTCCTTCAAATCATGTCAACCCCAAATGAAACGCGGGAGCTGGGTTGAAGATAAGCGCTTGTTTGGACAGTAAAGCGGCCTGAATTCCCATTCCTATATGATGGAATACAACCTCGGCAGAGTGCGCTCTCATAATAATGTAGCAGTAGCAATCGTAATCACACATTGCTTCACATGTGTAAGCAGGCAAACTTCACAAAACCTCATTGGCCATCCCTGCCAATGATCCAATCACCTTTTCCCCTCAACTGCTTCACCCTCACGCCCTTACGGCCGGCCTGTGTGCAGGCGGCGTTGGAGCACGCGCTCCCTCGCGCTCGCGCCGCAAGTGGTCGAGGCCGGCATAGCTGGCTTCCAGCGAGCCAGGAGAATGCCTCGTGGAGGCGATGGAAGCGAACACCGCGTGCCGCACGTGACCTGGAGTGGTCAGGGAGGGCGTAGAGTCGTAGAGCTGCGCAGACATGTGTCACCACAATTGAGGAAGAACACCACCCACAAAGAGAGTTTCTCATCGCCGACCAAGCATCTTTCAAGCAGCAAAGAAAATCACAACATATATATATATATCGTGCGAGTGGATCTTAATCAGCGAAGTTTGAAGCTATCACTGACGGTCCATAAGCGGCGTAGCGTCGGAACGGAAACCGCACCTTTTCTAGTCGCTTGATCCTTGAGCCAAAGTACATATGGTACATATATATATGTACAAGTTGCACTGTACGTGTCGCTGCACTTCCATTCGCATATCGAATATATATATTTAATAAATATCTATTATGTATCTTAAGAATGGGTGATCCAAACACACAGACTTTCCCAAACCTCAGACTCTTGGCGGCTGACCTCCCCAAACTCTCCCGGTGATGATCTCTTCGGGCCCCAAACCTCCGACATCATCCGAGTGGGCCCCCCGGCCACCAGCGACCCACCTCGCTGGAGCCAGTCCTGGGACGGTTGGAAGGGGGGAAGTCGGGAAAAGCCATTTGAGCAAATGGTTAAGACAAACACATGTCACATATATTATATATGATATATCACATACTATCACATATGTTACAGTAATATATTCACATATATAATTATATATCACATATGTTAATATATCACATAATATATTATTATATCACATATAGATAAACATATTATTCTCTTCATATTTTGTTGCGTGTTGAAGAAACCCGTTTGAGCCACTCCTGACATAGCTGGAGAAACCAGACCATGTTTGCGCAGAAGAGACACGTGGCAGCCTGCGTTTAAAAGAAAAGCGTCGAAACTTGTTTGAGCATGTCCCAAAGGAGACGATATAGTTGAAAGGGTGACCGGTGGTGATTTCTAATGAACTTGGGTGCACTGTGAGTGGCTGAAGGTGATTCAAACCATCTTGTTCTTCTTCGTTATGACATCTGCACCCAGCCCCGTTGTGGAAGACATGAAATTGGCTTTGGATCCATCTCCTGTACGTCTGGCTCCATTTCCTTGTTCCAGCATCCAAGCACCATGCCTCCAAGTCCAGAAGGCTGACGCTTGCTTGCTCTCGTGTCTGAGCATCCCTTTGCAGGACCATCTCACCACAAGAATCCACTGTCGACATAATTGGGAAAGGGCTGTATGCAGCTTGGTCGTCGGGTTTTCCAAATCACCAAACCACTGTCTTTGGTCAGGACCGCCTCCCCCCTGGGACCGCCTCCACCATCCCCACTGGGGCATCCCGACAAGGACCTCCGTCGCGCTCGGGGCGAGAGTGGGTAGTACTGCGTGCCCGCTGCACGCTCTCCTGGCGCGAGCCGTAGTAGAGCGGTGACCAGAGCCGTACCGCAGTGCCCAATAGTACCGGGGGATGCCATGTTAGGTGGGGCATGATCCACATCCAGAGGTGCTGATGCTGTGAGAGTTCAGTTGAATGATGTTGAATGTATCCCCAAAAGAACCACACTGCTGGTCAATGGAAAATAATCACTCACCTAAAAACCAACAACCCAAAACCCAAGCAAAGTGCTCCTTGATGGTCCTTGTCTATGCGTTGAAAAATTTCAATTCCAAGCCACCGCGGCACCCCCCCCACCCTGCCTGAAACGCCGGCGCACCGGCGCGGCAGCGACGGCACGCCCGAGGCCACGAAGCCTGGCAGGTCGGCGGCTATACGACCGGTCGGCGGCGGTGGCACAAGGTCACAGTTTGGGCAAGGTGAGTTGGACTCAACAGAACACAAGCTTAAAGCATCTTAAAACCAGGAAACCTGATTCTTTTCTGGCGACAAGGCTGATGTTGATGTTCCTGACAATGCGATGGTCGGAGCCAAGCACTCGGCGGGGTCAAAGAAGAGACATGAGACCTTATCTTTCATATGTTGGTCTTCCGCCGACCCCGGCTAAACCTGACCCAAGCGGGGCAGAGCCCGGACACTGAATCCTGATGTGCAAGTTTCGTGGCAGGCGGAAGTGCAGATTTCATGGCATTTCATCCAACTGTGATTGATTCTTCAATTCTCCACTGTCCCAGCCCTAGAAGACTTGATTGACACTTCTCCAATCCCGAAGTTGATCTCACCCACCAACTTGGAAAGCCTACAAAAATTCCCTCTCCTCTCCAGTCACCACGCTCCTCATACCCCCTGGACCCACCAACCGCGATCTCACCAACCCGTCGCGCCGCGCCTGGGAAGACGCGCGCCTCGTGGGGCTCCGGCGTGCGCCACGCTCGCCGTGCGAAGGGCGTCGTCGGCGCCTGGAGTCGTCGTGGCGATGGCGCCATGGGCGGGCGATGGTTTGGTTTGTGGGGAAGATGACATGGGCAGTGCTTGGGAAGATAGAGGAAGTATTCGATGTTGCTTTTGGTGCTATTCAATGTGGGATACGATGGCCTCTGGCCTCATGGACCTTTTGGGCTTCTTAGAAGCCATCCCGAAATAGAACGAGCATGTTTCTGTTGAGCGGGCCTGTGTTGACAAACACGGCTTTTTTTCCGCCAAACCATAAATGGCCTCACGCCCTCAGTTTCCTTGGATATTAACGGTGAACCATTTTTTGCTTTTTCGATATTAGCGGGAAAGCCAATACATGCCGTTTGGTGTATACAGGCCCATACACCGCCATACACCCCAAAAACAGGTCTTCTCAAGAGGTACCCCTGAGCTGAATCATCTTTCCGCGGATGAAACCAAACATGAGAAGAAGAACAAATTACCAACAGATTTGTCCGTTTGCCACCCGAGTCTCCATGTGAGTACCAGGATTTTTTTAAGTGCGCACACAAAACCGGACGCCACCAAAACAACAACATGGTACCTTCCAAATCCTTCCAAAAGGTTTACACTCCCTGAAATCAATCTCATAGTGTTTCGTGGAAGAACACCACCAAGGACACACTGATTCACACGAAACGAAGATCACGAGTCAAACTGGTCCTCCTCCGAGTCGTTTTTTCCTGCGGAATCATTGGATCCGTTCACTTACCGATGATTTCAGCGGGCCAACAGGGCCCTCGATCCACCAACCGCGCCTGGCGCGTTGGTCAAACACACATGTCCCCCCCAACCTGTTCCGCGCGCGCGCGCGCCTCCACCAGCGCCATTGTCCGGACACCGAGTCGTGCTGCGCTGCCGTCGTCCGTCTGTGATGTCTAGTGGACTTGGAAGATTTTCAGGGCTGCAGTGCTGCAATTCATGTCATTTCATTCGAAGACAACACCCTCCGATGTCGACATGATGTCGACATGACGTGAATATTTGTGGATCACGAGAGTCTTCGATGTGAAGTCATTTGGATCATGATCTTTCATTGTTTTACTTCCCTTGCTGTGCAGTGCGACCTCAATCACACATCGCCTGTATTTGTCAAGATCTGTGCTTAGCACGCCCAAACTTGTGCTTAGTGCGCCCAAACTGCTGACAGCTATCCATCACTTTGGCTTGACAAAAACACGAAGCGGGGGGGGTCGCATCTATGGTGATTTCGCTGCTCCTCGGGTGCTTTCATGGGTGCGACCACAGCGGTCAGCAATTCTCTCACTTTCTGCCACGACGTGAATTCTTTTTTGGGCGGGGTCACCTGTCCATCAAGCAGGGATTTTTTTTGCGCAACATTGTACTGAGTGAAGATCCCCTCCACAGCGGTGTGCACACTGAATGCAGCAAAAAGAAGAGGGGCAAGTGAAACTATTCCCAGTGCACAACTCGGTCTCCCAAACTTTGTGGCTAGGAAAGCGCGTGCGAGCACAAGGGGCCAAGGGGCCTTCAAACAATTGTTTACTCACCCTCTCGTTGCGCGGTCTGAGTGAGACGCGCCAACGGCATATGCGTCACGCAGGCGACATATGCACCAAACAATTGTTTACAAACATAATGGGATCTCCCTGGTTTTTTTACCGTTTTGTTCTGACTCAAAGGAAATTAAAGGAACAACTAGGGAAACATGCATAAACATTGTGTATATACCTTTCTATCTTCCAAATCTGTGAAGCTTCATGATTATGAATCAATCATTGTTGAATTTATACACACCAAGAAACATCCTACATCGCTGGAAGGCTCTTGTGAATCCCTGGAATTGGGGTAAAGCGACGCTTAGCGCAGCCAGCTCAGGGACACCTGAAAACATGTCCAAGATTGTCCAAGGCATGTGGAAACGAAATTCTCTTAGAGTCCCATATCCTGTGAGTGAAATGTTCCGTGGAATGCGCTAGCTGCTAGCTTATGGTACCATGGGAGCGAGAATACCGTGGAAAAGAGCCCTTCCAAAAGGTCATCACCGACACGTCTCTGATTCGTCCAGGACCGGCCTGCGCACTGGCCGGTGGGCACCGGTGCCACTGCGCAGGCTCCAAGTCCATGAAACTTCAGAGAGAAGAAGCCGATAAATAGATTTTTAACCCACCATGCCATAAGCCATAAACTTATTGGCATGACGGCCTGGTATCATCAGAATCAAAGCCATACAATTTTACTATCAGAAAATTACTCAACCTATCAGCGATGGCCTCCAACCTGCTTCTTTTCCCCTGGATTTTTAAACTGGTCTCATGGAATCGCTGCAACCAGGCTTGGCTCCTCTTTCAAGGCACGAAGGGTTGGTGGATCGGATCACTCGCAGTTCGGGTCGACCGTCTTCAGGGTCCCAAACGCGACTCACTCGGACCAGCCACACAGCCAGCTCCGAACCCAAATCCAGCCACACAGCCTCCGAACGCCATGGAAGTCTCAGGGATCTCTGTAAGCCAGCCAGCCCACATCCCTCTAAGCCAGCCAGTAGCTTCCCAGTTATAGCCTTTATAACTCCCAGAGGTGACCCGAACAGACCCGCACCAACTGCTACGGTTCGGTCCCCACCCAACCCCTGCATTGTGAGGGTCATTTCGCCCGGACCGCGATGACGAGGGTCCTTTCTGAGCCTTTGGGCTGTTGGGAATGGAACTCAGCGACCGGCGAATCGGCCGTTTTGGCTCTCCAGGATTGCGCCGACGTCTCAGCGGCCAGTCGGCCACCGCCTGACGCATCGGCGGCAGTTCTTGGGGTTTGCAACCAGCTCATACCGGCAACAATTGATGGGAAGATGCTGGAAAACACCAAAGCGGTAGTGTATCAAGCAATCCTTTGGGCTTCCTTTGGTGTACAGTACAGCAGCACCCCCTAAAAAATGGCCATTGCCTCGTGCTGCTCCCCCTTTTCCCTCGTCAATCACCATCTCCTCTCCTCTCCTCTCCTCTCCGTGTTCTTCTCCTTCTATTCTTCCAAGGACCAAACCACCCCAGCCGCGCCCGCCGCCTCAGCGCCGCCGCCAGAGCACGATGCCCAGGATGAAGACGCAAAAGGCGCCCACGCAGATCCTGTCGCGGCACGGCCACTGGCCGCGATCGGTGCTCGGTGGATCCTTCCGGTTCTTCAAACGGTTCATCCTTGGAAGGAGCTTCATACCCAATGGCAGAGGCAGATGAGGCTTGGATGAGGGGCTTTGAGGACAAATCGACCAAGACAGCCACACCCCAACACACGGCTTTGGAGTGCTCTTCACAACCGCTGCTTTGGGTGTAAGGTTTTAACGGGATTGAATAGTCAATCGATTGGCTTTCGGTGTCCGAATCTGGTCCTTGAGGCAGCTGCGCGTTCCGCGCAAACCAACACCTTGCAACCTCTCGGACTGGGAGAGAACCATTCTTCTTTGAATCCATGTTGTGGAGCTTGCAAAAAGGACAGCAGCAAAAACAACAGTGATCACGTGCGATCACCAGCATTTCAACATATTCATCATTTCATCGGATTTCGTACTTTGCAGGGTTTCCATGCTAGCACCTGGATTCCATCTATTCCCTTCTCCGAAACATTCAATATGGACCCCTCCCAATCCCGCCAAAGTTCAACTTCAAGACATTTTCAGGGTTGCTATGTGAACAACTGGAGAGCCACACTCTCCCCCACCCTCCTCCACTCCCCTCCCATCTCGTCCCTGCCCGTGGAACACCCCGTCATGGAGATTTCTCTGCCCGTGAAGCCGTGGTTGATCACCGTCTTGGACAGCGCATGCCTTGATGACCGTCTCCGCAGAGCGACGAGAGAAGGGCGCAAGCGCGCCGCGCGCGAAGGCGTGTGGAGCGAAGCGCTACAAGGACCACAGCGAAGGAGTCCCGTCACCGCGGGATTCGGTTCCCGAATCAGGTGTGGAACGGCGGTGAAGCTACTTCGTTCATACTCATTCCTTCATACATCTTCATACATAGCCTCCCTGAAAAATAACATCTTACAGTAAGTCAAAGCATGTTCCAAGCTCAATCAATCAATTCCGTAGATGCCAGGGTAGCTCAGCGAATTCTGAATGTTCTGAAACTCTGGCGGTTGGCAGCGTTGGAATTCACCACGATTGCAAATCAAGAACCTCTTAAGCACGTTGCCAAGAAATGCCACGTTCTTCCTGACTCTTCAACGTGACCTTTTGATCTCCTATGATATCCTGCTTTAAGGTCACAACCAGGTCACTTTTCAGGGTCCCAAAAAAACCATCACATTTCAGACACGACGATCACGCTGGTGGACGATGACGCTTCATTCCCAGAAAACCAAACATCACCGATTCTTCCAATCGAGGTGAATCCGTCGGGCATGGCTTCAACGGCTTCAACGGTGGTTTGGCTTGTCCGAGAAACGGTCAAACCCACGTGGATCGGAACAGCACCGAACCAAACACACACACAACAAGGAAAAGAAGGGAATAGCAATTGGGAATACCTGGAACAGGACCACCCTTTGCAACCGATCAAACTAGTTTTTTCAACATCCAAAACGACCCGGTCGTTTCGGTGAAGCCCTTCGGTTCGCTTGGGTGGGAGATGTACCAATCTCCGAGGTCAAGAGAGTCTTAGCCTAAGACCTCATATTTTGCAAGTATATTGTACAGACTTCAAACACAATACAGTTCGGAGCTGGCCGCGGTTGTGGTACGCGCAGTAACATCTTACACGGTATATACAGCGGAATGAACCAAATCACTTGATGCATGTGGTGTCTGGGCAAATACAGTAAATATATTCAGGCAAAGAAGGGAATGACCAAATGAATGGGAGCGGAGGTGCCATAGATTGCCCTAGATCTATTCGAAGGATTAAGACAAACCTCCATGTCATGTATTCCGACCTGCAAAACAACGGCTTTGTTCCACCAAAGTGCCATTGTTCCACCAAAGGCAAGCGCACCACGTGTGGCCCACCGTTGCCAGTGAGCCAGGTGATGAATCTCAGCAAAGGCGCCACGGCTGGGTCGAAATCTTAAGGGTCTTTGGCTCAGGCTGGGCCATGCCGGATAAGAAGAAACTGAAAAACGAGCTGCTTCCAAGGGCTCAACCCTATCACTACTTATAGGATCTTATAGGTCTTGATTGGGCACTCCGACAGGGAAGCGCTATAGGTGTACAGTAAATCAACCCCAACGGACAAGCAAACATGTTTGGTCCATCGGCTCACAGCAAAGCCTCAAACTGGTAAAGACCATGGACTCCATGGACCAATCTGGACCAGAGGAGATCTTTTCTGCCAGCCATGCAGACAACTCAGTGTGTTGAAGCACTCCCACGTGCCATGCAGCAAAATATATACAACAAACACATCAATCTACCGCTTCTCTATTAGAAGTGGACCATCAATCACCGAATCAACCTCCGCATGGGCTTCAAGCACCTCAACCGCCCCCCTTTCACACCACCTCGGCCGCACGCTCCACCCCGCGTGGCCTGTCCAGCGAGGCTTGGGCACCTTCGGCCTGTGCCTCGTTGTAGACCAAGCGTTGGGCCCTGCGCCCGCGCGCGCGACGCGGCGTGGAAGCCCCTCGACTTGAAGTCTGAGAAGCCGGACACCCAAAGACTTGATGTTTTGGCTGGAAATTCTGGAGCAAATGACTTGGAACTTGCAGGTCATTGACTTGCAGGACCATTTCCTGGGAGAAATGGGTGACTGGATGGTTCCTGTTTTGTTGGAGCCACCGACAATATTGAATGGCAGGTGTTTCCTGCTGTGTGGGTCTATAAATAATATATGGAGTAGTGTTGTCTCTCCAACTGTTCCTGCGACGTAGGATGAGGCCCCTTTTGGAACAAAATGTCTGGCTCGTTTTCTTGGACGCACGCGAGCGGTTTTGTAGGGTTGAGCCCATGAACATCAAGGATACCCTGAATTTTTGCTGCAAACCGTTGGCCCATCAGTCTATCAGTGGAATCACCTTGAATGAAAGGGGTGGGTTTGGACTCGTATGGACTCCAAAAAATGATCTTAAAACATCCTCCGAAGGTAGCAGAACTGGACTTCCCAAAAGGATCTGGAACATCCTCGCCAGCAAGGATCTAGATCTGTGGACCTTCTGCTTCTACACCTCAGACGACCTTAGACCTTTAGACACAGTGTTTGGGGTCTCTTGCCGGGAGAAAGACCTCAAACGACCACCTCTAGACGACCTCTACACCTTCAAGATCTTGAAAATCCACCATCCCTCCCTGCTGCTCCCACAGTGGACCACGAGGCGGAAACCGGGAGGCGTCGCGTCCCGCCTCCATTCGGCTTCGGTCACGGGGTGTTCGGAAGCCTCGAGGGTCGAGGAGTGGCAAACACATCGGGCTACAGGACCGAAACCGTTCGTCCGGTGGGTTTTGGGACATTCCGGTCATCACCTCTGTTTGAGGCGACTTTTCTTTAAGGCACCTTAATTTCGGATGGTCCTGGAAAATTGTATGACATTGTATGCATTTTTTTTTCAATCTCTTTCATGGATTGTTGTTGCATGGCTGTTCTTTTTCAGTTCAACGGTAGCAACCCTTTTCTAGCCTGGAATCCGAAACATGCAACAACAATTAGCGCCATGTCTTTATGCGGCAGGTGTCTAGGAACGGAGATCAGTCGTCTCAGTGGATCGCAGAAGGGGGGAACACAAAACATCCCTCACTCAAATCACAGTACTTACCAATCATCCAGTATCCAAGTTATCAGAATGTTTTTTACACCATTTGGTGTGTGTATTCAAAAACGGTTTTACACCCAACCAATGGGTTTTGTATGGTTTTGATCTACTTTCCTTCTTCCAAAAGGCTTTTGGGAGGTCTTTCAATCATGTTCAATCTCACCAGTCCGTAATTTATCCAATCATCCAAGTATTCCAAGTAATCAGCACATGTTTTTTTTTTTCACCATTTGGTGCCGTATTCAATCTCGATCATCGCCCGTGCTCAGCGTCACGCACCGGCCTGTCTTTGCACCAGCGTCACGCCGCCACTCTCTTCGGACCAACTGTCGTCCGTCGAATCCGTCAGGGGCGGAGGTCAGCGACCGAGGGGGGCGGTCAGGGGCCGGAGAGAGTTGGATTCTGGAAACCTTCCTTTAAGCTACGAACGGGGGCCTTACTAGTAGTAACAAGAAGCTATTAGAATTAAGTTTAATTAGAATTAGAATCCTTTAAACATCTTTTGATGTGTAGTTCAATCGCTTGACCCTTTAAACCCTCAATAGCCCTAGCTTGTTTCCTCCAACACTTTACACTTAAGATCAGTTGAAACCAAATCGGACATGACTAGACCATTCCATTTGGACACTGATCTAGTCGAAGCCGATGATTCGGGACATGGCACGAGGATTCGGGACCACCTCGGGGACCGGGCCTCACTCGGAGAAAGGCCGATTCGACTGAAGTGTGTGACTTCTCAGTGGAGACTCTTGCAAAATGGCCTCAACTAAGTCTGTGTCTCAGCAGTCAGTTGTAGAGTCTAGTACCTGAGAACCAGCTACCAGGTACTGGGAGAAGGGGGCCACCAAGACTAAGAAGCAGCTCACATACGCCTTTCACATTGGACTAATCCGGGACTAATCCCTGCACATTGGGTACTTCGTGGTATTTGATCCATAAAAGTCAGCTTGCCTCAAAAGAAGGCTCCAAAACGCGCGTTCCAAAAGCCAAATTTCGAAGGTTTCCGCCAAGAAACACCTTCAGACTGAGTCGATCTCTACCAGGACCTTCCAAGTCAGATGGTTTTTGGACACCCCCTTTACCTCTAAAAGGCTATTTATAGGCACCTCTTGGATGGTCCTGGTACCAGGAGTTCCATGTTAGGATGGCTCTGAGTCCCACTCCGGTAGAGTGTGGACGAGGTGTTCTGGGCTTCCTCCACTCGAGCCACTCCGAACGAACCGGCCAACCGGGTCGGGTAGCACGTACGCCTCCCATCCCCGACCTGGCACACGCGGCGCCCTCGCATGCCGCGGGCCACGCGCCCGCGCATGCTGCGGGCGCTGCGAGGGCGAGGCCAAGCGTGGCGCGTGGCACCTGAGGCCGCTAGGTCGGGGATGGGAGGGCTTTCTCAAACGCGTGGAACCAAGAGCAAACAGGATGCTACTGGATGCGTACTGTGATCTACTGGAGATACTTCATGATGCAGATTCACTGCTTTCAAAGAGAGACCAACACGATCAGTTTTTTTGGAACCGAGGCAAATGCCGGCAAACAACCAAATGATTTAACATCACATCAAGCATCATCAACCACCCACGGAGTTGGTTTCATGCTGAGAGACACCCGCGTCGGAATGTGTACGACAGGTGTAAAGAATCCAAGTGCCTCCCAAACACACGTCACCAAAGTAGCTACTGAGAAAAAATACACCAAACCATCCCAAACAAACTAGAAGCAACGCATGTGTGAGCGCTGTTCCTGTGCCGTGAAATTAAGGCAAACTGTTGGCTTCCTGGTGTTGCTTTCAGTGGGCAAGAAAACGCCGGCTCCTGAAGACCCAGGCTCTAATGCCATTTTGTATGTCTCTTCTTGAGGTGAATATTTTGTAACCATTGTATGCAGAATACAAACTTGGCAAAAAGAGAACCCTCACCTGAAGATATGACATGAGTTCGTTCCCCTTGCAAGGCAATTTTGGCAAAAGGTTCATCCATTCGCCACACCCTAAGCAGTTTGGACATGATGGTCGGCGTCTTGCCCATGGTGCGTCCAAAATGACATCAAATCAGACTCTTCACCCTTCAAATGCTCATGTGCCACCCGAGCCCCTTTGAGGCATCCGCTGCTATCATGACCCAACCAGCACCACCATGGCAGTCAACGGCGATAACTACGTGGCGAGAGCGTCCTTGGTAGAGAGAGCCTCAACATCGTTGGGTGTCCTCGTTCTGACTAGGACGAACTCGAAGTCTTCATTGAAATCATAGCAGATCATACGAGACATGGATCTTATTGGATAATCTTAGTACGTGTTCTATTGGGAACGTTGCTAACCTTACTGTTTTGGTGTCCGTCTTGTTGCGGGGGGCCTAGCATTTGTTGCGGTGCTGTGCATGTTCAACTCCAAGTATTGTTTGTTGCGGGAGAGTTTAAAGTTATGTTGGCGCATGCTTGGCACTGCTGCTGGCAGCAACAGGCTGAACAATGCTGAACAAACAAGAGCTTTGGGGGAGTTTTCCCCTAAGAGGACAGTTTGAGAGACTCTGAGCCGAAACAAGCTGGCAGCCCACAAATCCGCGTTTTGAAAGCCCAGCAAGGCCAGGGCATCCAAGGCCCAAGGCCTGCTGTCAACAGGGAACTACTGACGTACGTAGATGCGGTTTTTGGCGCGTGACCATCCTGTATCTGTTTCCCTTCCTGTTGTATATCTTTCCCCCAACAATCATCCATTTGCATATTGCATAATATGCAATGGCTTGCATAAATTGTGTGATTCGTTAGACGTCTCTTGAAGCTTCTCTTACAAAGCTTTGTGGACAACCCCTCTGCAAGAGGGATACTGAGACGATGCCTTCTTCGACCACAATGGCGATCCCTCGCAAAAGCACATCACCATAGCAAGAAGCAAGGAGCATTGAGGTTCAAACCCTTAAGGACACAGTGGACTCATGACTACTGGCCATTGTGATCTTGAATTGATTTAGGGATGGGGATGCAAACTTCTGCTCATGTGAGGCACAGTTCAGCAAATAAGTCACGGTTTTCCAAAAAAAACTGCTCACCAAATTACCAAATAACACCCTAACCACAAGCAGAATGAAAACCATGCGACTTCCCAACATCATTCCCCAAATCGGACCCTTTTTTCGACCAAAAGGCGCAGCGACTTTGTCTTTTTTTTTTGAAGGGCTGTCTACGATGATCCACCGAGGGGCTCTTGACCCAGTTCAACGCTGACCATACTTAATTTCCACCTTCCCATCCAAATTTCAAGCATGTTGACACGTTTACATATTGCCATCATCTCAGGTGAAATCCCATCCAAATGTCGAAGAGCGACTTTAGACAGGACCACAATGCCGATTTTCCTCCTCCCATTCACAGAAACAGCTGACCGACCTGAACGGTATGTCTCCGTTCTTTAGAGACAGAAGTTCGAGCACTACACTCAAATGGAACTTCACAAATCTTCAGTCCTTCCATCCTCCCGTTCTTCATCCTGATCCGGATCTGCTTTGACGGCTGCAACGGCGATCCGGGCTCCTTCAAAAGGTCCATGAGCACCGGCAACGACCATGACCACCATATACCCAGCCATGCGGCTTTTGGTTTGAAGACATGCCGAGTCAATCGGAGGCCTCCATCACGAACTGTGTCTAGGCTACGACTAAGGGCATGCCAATCTGCTGATGCATCTGGTGGACTTTTGCCCAAAGATTCTCAAAGCTGCCTTTGCACACCATCTGCACACCTGTCTTCTCAGGGGCATCTGCACACCATCTTGCTCGAAAGAGTGCAGGGCCACCGCATAGAGCTGAATGTCCATGTGCGTCATGGTGAGCATTCTCTCCAGCAACTCGGGCGACTCCATGATTTCCTCACCATGACCCGCCTCAATTTTTGTAGCCTATGTTGCTACGATCAAACGAGTAAACAGTAAACATCCCTCATCCCTTTGTATGAGAGCCTTTTCTGGATTCTTCGAATGGATTTCCTTGTGAAAAGCACTCATCCCGGACTCATCCCTGTCTTTGATCTTGTGTAATCCACATGTGCCCCGGCAGCCTTCGTCGCCGGGCTGTCCAGGGAGAGCCCCCCTGGGAGGTAAGGGCAAATTCATCTCATCCAGCGGTACGTGGTGTCGTGCGCCGTCGCATGTCTTTCGCTTTCTTCACCCGCTCGTCACATCAGAGCCGCAAGTCGAAGACGTGGTAGGTATGTCTCATCGTGGCGATCACATGCAGCTTCTCCGCCACCGAGAGCCTCAGGACAAACGCAGCAGACCAATGGTTGGAACTGGTGGCGGTGCCTGCACCGTGTGGACCCTGGCTGGGCGACTGTTGGCCGTCTGGTCTTGGGGGTGAAATTCTTTGCGTGCCCTCATGGTACTTCTATGCAGGATGAGCTTTGGAGGATGTCTCAGATGTCTCATTTGGAAAACACCAAGCACTGAAAGGTGTGAGTGTTCACCCGTCGTGCTTGTGCGCATTTTGAAAACATCGCTTCCACAAATCGTCATTCTTCCAAAAAGAGTTTGTTGCACTAAAGCTGGCTGACCCTTGAAGATGTTTCCCAGCAAAACAATAAACAGGAGAATCCATTCTTTCGGAAGAACACTGGCCTTACTGGGGGGGCCTTGGCTCCAAAGCTCAACAGGAATCTCCGCCATGGCAACACCCCATCTTCAACACCTTCGGCTGGTGCTTCTGCTGACCAAATGGGTGGCTGGCTGAATGCTACGAATCCTTGAGGCGAACACTGCAGCCCCAGTGGCTCGGGCGAGGTCAGGTCCAGGATGTCCCGCCGAAAGGCCCGCCAGTCGGCGTCCTGCTGGGTCCAAAGACCGTGGGCGGGGCGACACGTTTCCCCACCAAAAGGATGGGGCGCGCGAAGGCTGGACGTGGCGGGCGTGGTGAAGACGGTGCTGGCGGAAGTTGTTTAAGCTTGTGACATTGTGTATGATGGTTGGAATTGGTTGGATGCTGGACAAGTTACAAGTTCCAGAACCCCAAAACACTCCAATTATTAGCAAGGGTTGTCTGAGACTCAGCAAGCATGGGTGCTTTGTTGAGACCTTTCAATCCTACCAGAAGGCCCTTCCCCCCCAAAGACCACCAAACGGACGTTTGACTATAACGCATGCCCACGCCACACTTAACGAATGCTTAGATCTATATATATAGATGATCTAGCTGCTGTTTGTGCAGAGTTTCCTGGTACCATGTGGTGCCAGGTGTCCCTGCGAAACAGCCTGATCGCAAAGGCACTGTCGAATTTCCATCCAATTCTGGGGGGGGGCTACAGTAGATTCATTCAACTGGGATGGCCATGAATGCATCTGAATTATCAGGTCTATATACAACTAATTGACCATCCTCCCGAACTCTGCAGTTAAAACCGAACCCTCACACCGCATCCCGCACACCTCACAGACCGGACCAACCCTGGCAGACAAGGACGACTGGACTCTCCTCCAGGCGAATGCGTGAGGCCATGCGACACAAGGTGTCCTCGGCGTGCCCCGCACGCCCCTGAACCCAGGAGCGCGGCGCGGGATCCCTGCGCTCGGGGTCAGGAGGGTTCGGGGCGGACGGACGCCGGACGAAGGAACGACGAAGGGCAAAAAGACCCTGGCAAAAGCATGGTGATGTCCAGTGTGATGTTTGGACCATGCATGAATATGACGGCGCTTACTGCGGTGCTTTGCAATTCTGTAGGAGCTGAGCTCTTTCCTCTCGTTGGAACCCCCCAACCAAATACGCATGGTTTGCTCGGGGCATCGTTTTCCCCAGCTTTGCCAAAAGGCAAGCTCTCGCACTTGATATATCCAACTATAGCCAATTATATAATATACACGTTCAAGAATTGCAAGGTTGGAACACTTTCAAGAATTGCAAGAACACTTTACTGAACACTTCCCAATAGTTCGCCCCGTAGTTCGTCGCTACTCCAAAGCTTTCACGTCTGAATCACACGACCCAGGTGCCCCATCTTCGGAGATCCCCACCCAGCTCACCATCTCTTCCCCACGGCCCTGCCGTGCCATGTGCCGAACCCCGCCGAACCCTCCGAAGCGGTTTCACCGCGTTGTCCCACGGAGTCTGTGGGATCCCGCACCAGGTGACACAGCGCGGCACCCACCTGGGCGCTTAGCCGGTGTCGCGCGGAGCCGGTCACTGGTGGGGGGTCGTATTAGGTACGTCGGGAGAGTTGTGGGAGGCCCGTGCGAGGTCTTGGAGGTGACCCTGAAATGCATCAAAGGCATATCCAACGCGTCTGTATTTGAATAGGGAGACCCCCCCGGGTAGGGAGAAGACAACATCCATTGGTTGGGAGGCCCGCTGATTAAATCCCTCCAAATCAAAGGCCTCGTTTTACTGGGCTCTATTTTCTGCAAAACTGATAGCAAACTTCGACCTCCAAAAAACTGGTCCTTTTGAGGTGGAGGGAATCATAAATCCCATTATTTGAAGACACACCTGTTAGTAGGGAAAATGGGTTGAGATGGGATGATCTGGTTGGCTTTTGTCCATGAAAGTGTCTACTCTTTGGAGGTCAGGGGTCTCCCTCTGTAGACTTTCTCTATCTCAATACATTCCCGCGTGCAGATCACAACCAAGGGGTTCGGATGAAAGTTCGAGATTTAGAAGGATCCATCCCTACAAGTATAGTTAGAGATTTGATTTAAACAAACAACGTCTCATCAATTTCCAGCATTATGGTTCATCAGGTTCATGCTGCAATTCGTCAGAACACTCTTGAACACTCTTGGGGCTCAACCCTTTCCTCTCAATATCTCTGCAACTCTCGCGGGATCGGCACCGATATTCGCACGCCTTCCATCTCTTTAGGTTCGGGTGCAGCTTCGAGGGAAGGGATCCACGAATCTTCACTCCATCTTTGTCTTGTCAAAAGCGTGTCTCCAAAAAGTAGTAGAAACAGGAATTGCACCTAGCAGCTGCCCCAGTAGTCTCAAATTCAAAAAAGAACTGTTTCAACTTAGTATAGGTGTCAGGTTTTCAACAACTAACAAAGCTAACCCGATCCAAGGTGCTGATGTCACCCGTATACCTGGCTGCTATGACTCCTCCAAAGATCAGCCCACCGAGCACCGCCACGTGTCGCCCGCGGAAACGACAGTCGCGAACCGCCACGTGGAAGCGCCACGCGCCTCGCCTTATCCAGATCGATGCTGGAGTCCAGTCCACTGGCCTCAGCGGCGCGGACCCGCGCTTCGTCTCCGACTCTGGGCGCTCGGTGACGGCGGTGACCGACGGATGACCGGTGTGAACGTACGGAACGTACGTTTTTGCTCGTTCAACGCGATGCCTGCGGATTGGGTACGGCCGGGAAGTGGGTTGCAATGGCTTAGCATTGAACGACTTTAGAACTACTGTTATATGATAACATACACTCCGACTCACTAACAATGGAAGTGGACACTTGCCTTTGGGAAGAGTATATAATATACTTTCCTTTACCACTGAGGAGGGTTGCCACTTCCATGGTGAGTGGGAGTGCGTGAGTCTTTTTCTTCTGACATTCAGGACCCAGGAGGAAAAGGGAATGCACATGTATATCCATGTAACAACCCACACCCAACCCACAACACAAGTTATCACCATTAAGCCATTAAGCCGCCGACGGGGCCTATGGAATGGAATGAATTTAATCCTTCGCAGGGCTGTCCAAAGCGCCACCCGTCCGGCGACGGAGAGTTCACTCACTTCGAATGGCCTACGAAAGCCTTTGGACTTTAATTGGGAAGCCAATTTTGACCCGGACAAATGGCTAGCAGGGTGGGCTTGAACCAGGCCCCTTTTGCTAACTAGACCCGCCGCAATGTCCTATCCATTGCACTCCAAAAGCTCGATCTGCCTTTCTGAATTGGCCCGGGCGTGGAGTTTGGATGATTCTTTTTGGCAGAAGAACCATGGTCCTCTTGGGCGACCGGTGTTTGGTCTCCTGGTTGACTGGACACGCACGTCTCGCCCGGGAAGCTCGCCCCCCACTGAACGCACGTCCCACCGAACGCCCACTGGGTCGTTCCCCGCCAAGCCGTTGCTGGGCAGCTCCGGGTCCTCGTCCAAGCCTAGGGCCTGGAACGGTGGAACTGTGTAAAGAGTTACAAACCCATGAACGACAAGGTCCTTGGTCTATATATACATAACGACCTTGTTCTGCTCTGCCATTTGCGCTCTGAACATCTCCGAATGAAGCGTTTCTGAGAGATTCGGTGGTGACACGATTTGAGCAAAGGCGGCAGGGGCAGAATTGGATCGTGTTTCTTTCAGACGTTGGTTGCGATCCCGGGCAGTCCTTGGTGAACTCATGTCATGTGTGTCTTGATTTATGGACTTGTCTCAGAAATGAGACATGATGAGACTTGTCTACGAGGTCGAGGTGTTATATCTGAACAGCCACATGGTTTGGGACTCGGAGAGGTCGAGAAGCCATCCAACATCTTAACCCACAGCTTCAAGGCTTTTCACATCACAAACAAGCCTCCAAATCCACAGTTCTCTTGCCCAGTTCACTGATGAAACCGGATCCTATACACTAGCCCCCCCCAAACCATCCCATCCTACTGCTTCCTCGCAAAGTTGAGGACCTCGCATGCTTCCCGCCACGAACGGCGGCCAACTCCGATGCCCCGGGGGCGGCCTGGGAGAGGAGCGACTTTAAAGGCACCGTGCCCACCGCGCCTGACGAGTCTTGCGCGGACGACGGGCGTGGACTCTTGTCGGTCGCTGAGCGGTGTCTGGGGAAGGGAAGAAAAAGCCACGGAGATCGACGATGAACAGGGAGCATGGGTGATTTTGGGGGGTCAACCTGGTCTGATAATTGCCTGACTGCCCTTTGACTGAATAGATTGGATCTCCAAGCCCAACCACCTTTGGGCCCAAAGGGGGCTCCAAACGGCCATGGTGGCGATGCTTCTAAAGTATCCGTCCGGCCACACGTCTTCACCCTCTTCCGCCGTGTCCTCCGTCCTCCGTCCTCCGTCCGGCCACGCCTTCCATCTGCGGAAGTTCGTTCACCCGCCGTGGCGAGAGGAAGGCCATGTTCCGATTCCTCGGGAAAATCCGCGGACCAACCGAACGGCCACCCGAGTGAAGCGGAGGAAAGACCAACAATGAATGAAGTGTCTCCAGAGTACCCAGCTGGTAAGGGTGCAATGCCGTGCTAGTGCAGGCTTTGCCAATAGAATCTTTGAAGTTCCACCGTTCCACCAGCCAACATCCCTTCCAACCCCCTCTATATAATGCGCCCCGGTTGCAGTACCGCCTTCACCCGCCACTTTCGACCCTTCCCGCCGCCTGACGCACTCGACGCCCCGCCACGCCGGGCGACAAGAAGCGGTCCAGCTCGGCTAAAGCGCGCACCATCTTCCTCCTCCGCCCGGCTCGGTGCGAGACCGGCGCCAGACGTACGTCCGGTCGACCGGGAGGTACGGTGGCGCGTCTCCGACATCTGAAAAGAGCAGGAAGGCGGTTCGTGTGAAAAAGCAGTCCGGTGGTTCAAGCAGAGCTTGTCAGCTTGTCAATGACTGAGTCTGTACCTGATGTGTTGTGACTGTTAAACTGAAAACTAGCGTAAAGCAGGGGAGGCCCTGGTGTCAAGGGTTGTTCTGGATTTTTCTGCTTAGGATGTCAAGTGATTCCTTCCCTGGGAATTCGAGGAATTGCTTGGATCCTCTGAGATGAGATGGGAGATGCTGGGGATGCGCTCATCTTTTTGTTCTGCTCGTCTCCCTCCAGGTTCCTTCAGAGAGCTATTTCAGGAGAGACATGGAGAGACATTGGCACTGAAATAATTAGCAACGTGCAAGACTCAAAATCACCACAATATACCACAACAGCTGCACCCTGTAGGTTTCTCGAATCCAACCAAGTCTTGCGGACTTCTTTCTCAAACACGAGTACTATATTGAGTGCTTGGTAATTCAAATCATCCCACAAGTTGAATATGGATCGCCATTCCCCCCAAAAACGGATGAAATTACAACACCCTCTCACACATGCAAGAAGATAAGCCCCTATCAAATAGGCCAACAGCATCTAGCAAGCCGCAACAGCATGTCGATTGCAACTGCGCTGAACCGCGCCGTCCGCGCCAGCGCCGAGCCGAAGACTCGCCTGGATTCCAACTGCCGTCGTCGCCGGGAGCTGGAAATGATCCAAGACCTTCGCACGGGTTCGCACGGGCAGCTCGACGAGAGGAGACACGGCGAGACCTCGACCTCGACGTGAGGAGGAGCCGAAGCACGCATTGCCGGGACAACGATGAAAGGGCTCCATGAAAAAGTGCCGAAAACAGATGGAGTTATAGAAACAGCCGTTAAGCTGCAACTCCTGTTTTGGGCCGCGAGCTGCGAAGTCAAGGTACATGACATCCTACTATGTGCAAAGTACAAAATGTACATATTACATGGAGTGAAAATACACCCCCCTCAGCTAAGGTAGCTTTGCTCCCGAAGCTGGACGCGGAAAGTGCACGAGGGCTTGTGCAGGGCACGACAGTGATGTCGGCACAAAGCTGCATGGCAGTTGTGGATGCTAGCAATCCACTGCCTACGTGGCCCTGTACGTGCATTTTAATTATTCACTCCCCGCCGCCAAAAGAAATTGAAAGTTTGGACTTGGGAGGAAAACCGCATACATATTGACAATGGATGTCATGCAATGAATTATGCTCGCTCAGGCAAAAGGGTTGAGACTTGGCTCAACTAACGCCAATGCCACTGGCTCCGACTCGAGCTCCAGTCCCACGAGCGGCGGTCCCACTGCCGCTGCTCGCCCCACTCGCTCCAGTTCCATGAGCTCCATCCCCACGAGGACGATGCTGATCCGGATGCACGTGGGCTCACCGGTGAAGGTGGCGGACCTCCCTTTGCCTTTGAAGCTGGAGTTCCATCACCTCCGGTGGAGGACTTGCGCTTGCCCTTGCTCTGCTGCTGGCGCTGCTCTTGAGTCTGCTTGTTGACCACATCACGCCTGGCAGCGGAGAGGTTGTCATGGCATAGCTGGCGAATCTCCTCCATTGCGCAGTGTTGACTCATCTGATGCACACCGTCCCAAGCCAAAAGGCCACGATGGGAGTCGGGTGAGTTGATGTACTCGATGTACTCACGCAAGGAGAGGATGTTTGTGCGATAAATCACGCACCATTGCTCAGGAATGTAGTCCATGGCCTGTGGATAGCGGTCGGGCGCTACGTCGATGTAGGCCAGCCGTGCCAGAGAATGATCTTCGTCATATCCAAGGCCCAGGCTGACTTGCGCTTTGTTGCGCGGCGGGTTCGCCAAGTGAGCATGGCAAAGCCAATCCTGCCGCTGCGCTGCCCGATGGTCATAGCCCATTTGCAGCATTCGTTCCATGAACTGGACGTCATGCTCGAAGCGATCCTCGATGCTCTGGAAGCCACACTTGTCTGCACGCCTCATCCGGCTGCGAGCGTCTTGGATCATGATCGCTTCTGGGCTCATGTTTCCACGGCCGCTTGCAGACACCACACGCAGGTTGAGGCCAGCCTTGATGTAGTCGCTGACTGGGCACTCAGTGCGAGCGAGGCCGGCCCTCGCAAGCTGCTGCCTTCGGAGAACTGAAAGTCTGGTAACAGCTTCCTCCGGCAGCTCGGTGTTGGTGGCAAGTTCGGCTGAACAAATGTCACAGTGGGTCATGCCCCTGAGGACTAGACCCTTGCATTGGCTGCATTCAACCTGGATCACCGTCAACTTGCGTCCCTTTCGAAGTGTTGGGGCGGTGATTGGCGCATCAAAGCCAGGTGGAGGCCCCGCTGGCTCAGGCGGAGCGTACCCGCTGTAAGATGCTGCAGGTTGCTCTTGCTCTGCCACATTCACGATGGAAGTGGGTGGAGTCGAAGGCGCAGCCTTGTTTGCAGGTGCTGATTTGCTGGTTGCAGTCAGGGAAACAGGCATTGCTTTTGCGGTTGGCCGGGGCTCGCCAGTGATGGCGGCCCGGCTCTCACCTCCATCCGCTGGAGCAGCCTCGGGTAGGCCAACGGCGCTTACCCTGGTCCAGAGTGTGGACTGGCTTTCGGTGTTTTCGACGGAGACAATGTATTCTGGAGGTACTGTGTCAACCGTCATGATCCCACCGGAGCGGTTCTGGAAAAAGATGAGACCGCCATCGACTGCTTCCCGAAGTGCAACGGTAAGCTGAATAGGGTGCTTGCCGCGGAGACCGCTTTGATAGTCGGTCTCCGTAATGCGACTTGCAGCCAGGTAGACATGGGCTCGATCGCTGCCAACAAACTCGCCCCCGCCTGGGATAAGGCCCTCCTTGACGATCCGCTTCCAGCACGCTGGCCTCGTGCGGTGGTAGGCCAAGACAGGGATCTCATCCGCTTTGGCGATGGGCTTCCCAGTGAAGGGAGCTTTGGCTTCTGGCCTGAGCGCAGGACTGCAGTACATCAGGGCTGCCGATCTGTAATTGTCCTGTGCGCTCTTGATCGCGTGCTTGCTTTGGCCAGCAGCGGCACGCATCTTCAGAGGCCATAGTGCCACGCCCTTCTCCTCGAGTTTGTGCCCTTCTCGAATGCCCAAAAACTCGAATCGGTTTTTCTTGTCTTTTGCTGCTATGGCGATCAAGTCTTTGACGGTGAGCGGCGGGGCACTGCGGTGATTCAGGCCGAAACACCTGGCTACCTCGTCCAAGTCTGCGTAGCCATCTTCGTCAACCTCAAGGCCCAGATATTGGTCATGTTGTCGAACAACTTTGGATAACTGGGTGAGCCAATCCTTGAGGGGTTTCGCGAAGAAAAGGTGCCCGCCATTTAGCTCCCATCCGCTCGCAAAGTGAAGCTGCAATTGCTTGTCGCCAAGCTGGACCACTTGCTGGAAGGCGCCATCGACCTCGGCCATCTTGTACGTGTACTCGTGGTATTGGTCTGCAAGATACTGAGGGCACACAACGTGGCCTTCATCAGCATCAGCTGCCGGCGGCGATGAGGGTGCCTCGGGCTCGGGCTCGCCAATGATGGCGGCCGAGCCTTCCTCGCCATTAGGTGCGCTTTCTTCTTCATGTTCTTCTGGCACGACCTCCTCATATGGCGATACATCCTCATCTTCGTTGGCATCAATGTCGAGCCATGCCGCTGGGTTTTCGCCAGTTTCAACACGATGGCTGAGTTCCTCAAGCGTCTGGAGCCGTCCCTCATAGGTTTCTCGGTTGATGTCCAGCTCTGCAGCAATCTTCTCCTGCTCCTCCTCCATGACATCAAGTCGTTGCTGGAGGATCTTTTCTGCCGTGGCGTCATTTGCGACGAAAATCTCCGAAAGGTCTGGATCAGCTTCCTCCCCTTCGGGCTCATCATCGATGACGGCCATGTCTGCCTCGGTAATCGGCGCTGCACGGTTTGGCTGCTCCGCAGCGACGTCCTTCTTGGTAAGGGCGCGGGCGGTGAGCTCGGCTGCGGCGATTGCCCTTTTGTGGCGGACATCGGCAAGGTTACGGAGTAGCTCTTCGTATCGCTGATGTGGAGGGAGGCGATCATCACGAAGCTCAAGTCCACCGAGTGGACGGTTCATCGGACTGGTGGCAGCTACTTCCAATGCGATATCTCCGAGAACATAGAGTCTCATAAGCAGGTGGAATACACTCTGACAAAATGAGAACATATGATTTGCATTCTCGTCCGATTTCTCGCAATGCCATTGGTCACGCAAGTCCATGCGGATGTTGAGGACGTTGATGTTGACTAGGCGGAAGCGACACTTGCCGATCTGAGAACCGTACACCTCATCCTGGAACCACTGACTCAGCCGGTTAAACCAGTCGCTGTAGGGTCCCTGCCGCGCGAAGCTGTAGGTCTCAGAGTCGGGCGCGCTGATGAGAGCGGCCGAGTGCACACCGTATCGAAACATATCGGCGGCAAACCCGACCAACTCTTCTTGCGCCTTCTCCTGTAGCTCCATGTAGTGATCGCCGTCAGGATGATCGAAGGGCCATGAAGTCTGGGCTTCAATTCCTTTCTTGCCAATGAGCTCGTTGCCAGCCCATACCACGCCAACCAGCAGCATGCAGCCTGGAAACTGGCGCTTGAGGCTCCTCACGGCAATACGGGCTCGTTTCAGCAACAATGGCAACTCTGCACCCCAGAGGCATTCGTGATGAAAATGCTTGCAGTAAGTTGGACGATAGGCCTGAAAGTGATCGGCCAGATCGAACCTCTGGGGTTTGCGTTTCGAACCGCTAACCAAGCACAAGGTGGAATCAGAGATCAAGATATGTACCGTTTGGTAGTCTTGGCTCGTGGGCACACCTGTGAAGGCGGCTAGATCATACCGTGAGGTCCGAATCAACGGGCCCAACTCCGGCTCTAGCCATCGGTTCTTCTCAACCAGGCCCGCCAGCACAGAATGTGCTGTGTGCTGGCCAAGGACGCCATTCAGCACCGCGTCCACGTCCTCAGAATATCCATCTTCGAGGTAGTAGCCAGAGGCCACAATCTGCCGAAAGTGCGACTCGAAGATGTCCAAGGTTTCCCTGCGCATGTCTTGGTCAGCCGACATGGTGTGATCAACAATGATCGCTGGCAGGGCGCGCTGCGCGACGGCGGCTGAATGGCTTGAGCTGCTATTCTTAAAGCAGCGGTGAACAAGATCAGTGTACTCAAACGTGTAACCTTCAGCACTCTTCAATGACTTGCCTCTACTTTGCCCGTGAGTGTGATCATGTGTACACATGTATTGCTCAAGACATGCAAGCTCATGAAGATTTGTGCATATGTGCCAACTCTTACGCATAAGATTACCGTGATCATCTCGCACACCAAACATGCATCCATCGAAGTTGTATCCTTGCAAGTTGTGGCGTTTAATGAAAGCCAACACCGACGGCCAATGCCAATAGCGACAGCGACGGGAAAGCTCAAAGGCAACAAACGTCCTTGAGTCAAGGTGGTCACGCACGAGCTTGGCGAAGCTCTTGAAGAGTTTGGTGAACTCCTTTTGTTGCTCCTTAATGCGTTCCAATCCTTCCTCAGTTTGCTTGTTGACGTTTCCCCATGGGCTCCCGCCCGTGCAGGGCAAACTGCCGTACAGCAGAACCTTTGCTTTTGGGTGCTGTTGTTTGAAGGTGTTGATTTCTTTGTCAAGCCACCTCATGCACTCGCCTGTGGTTGCATCTTCGTTGATTGTGACGCGGAGGACTTTACATCCTTT